ACATTTGCTTCTTTTCGGCCTTCCGACAGCCCGAGACGGCCCAAGAGCCCCCAAAGATCGCCGAAAGATCGCCCACGAGGCCTCCAACATGGCCCCAGAACGGCCCAAGAGGGCCCCAAGACGGCCCCAAGAGGCCCCCAAGACGGCACAGGAGGCCTTTAAGACGCCCAAGATGGCCTCCAAGACGGCCCTGGAGCATTTCAAGAGGGCCCCAAGTCGGCCCACAGAGGCCCCCCAAACGGCTTCCGACGGCGTCAGACGGACCAGGAGCCCACCAAGACTGCCGAACATGGCCCTAAGATGGCCCAAGACGGCCAAAGAGGCCTCCAAGAGGGCCTCCAGGAAGGCCCGAAAAGGCCAAAATCATTCATTTCCCATGGGTTTTTGAAGGATTGTGGCATTTGCTTTTTTCTGCCTTCCGACGGCCCGAGACGGCCCAAGTGCCCCCAAAGATCGCCCAAGAGGCCCAAGACACGGCCCCAAGAGGCCCCCAAGACGGCCCAAGAGGTCTCCAAGACGCTCAAGATGGCCTCCAAGACGGCCCAAGAGCCCTCCAAGACGTCCTCCAAGAAGGCCCGAAAGGGTCAAAATGGCCTCCAGACGGCCAAGATGACCTTCAAGATGCCCACGTGTTCCCCGAAGGCTTTCCAAACCGATTCGGGGAACACATGGTCCGATAGCTTGGCAGGCCTCTGGCCACAACCTTCGGCCACGTAGGCGCTTCCAAAAAGGCAGGGGGCGGCGGTGATTCGCCGGTAGGCGTCTTCGATCCGCCGCCCCCTGTCGATTCATCGCAGGGGTGCCTGGCGTGCTAGACCCTTTCGGTTTTGGTTTTGGTTCTTTTTCCAAAAGAACTTCCCCTGGCGCTTCGGCCCGTCCCGCCGAGGTCCCGGGAGGATTGCCTAGGACCGCAACGTCCACAACAAATCCTCCCTGAAACGGCCGTTTCGCTCGGGACATCCTCAAAAAATCGCGAAGATGGCCCAAGATGGCCTCCAAGTCCGTCCAAGATGGTCCAAGACGGCCTCCAAGACGGCCCAAGAGAGTCCAAGACGGCCCAAGACGGCCCAAGAGGCCCCCCAGAGGCCTCCCAGACGGCCCAAGAGGCCTCCAAGAGGTCCTCCAGGAGGGCCCGAAGAGGCCGAAATCATTGATTTTTCACAGGTTTTTGAAGGATTTGGGAATTTGTTTCTTCTCAGCATTCCGACTGCTCAAGACGGCCCAAGAGGCACCCAAGATCGCCCAAGAGGCCCCCAAGAGGGCCTCATGACGGCCCAAGTGGCCTCCAAGACGGCCCCAAGAGGGCCCAAGAGACCTCCAACACGCCCAAGATGGCCTCCAAGACGCCCAAGATGGCCTCCAAGATGGCCCCGAAGCGCCCCAAGAGGGCCCCAAGGTGGCCCAGAAAGGCCTCCCAAACGGCTCCCGGCGGCGTCAGACGTGCCAGGAACCCACCAAGATGACCGAAGTTGGCTCGAAGCTAGCCCAAGACGGCCCCAGAGGCCCCCAAGAGGGCCTCCAGGAAGGCCAGAAAGGCAACAAACATTGAAGTTCCTAAGCATTTCCTTCTTTTCGGCCTTCCGACGGCCCGAGACGGACCAAGAGCCCCCAAAGATCACCAAAAGATCGCCCAAGATGCCTCCAAGATGGCCCCAGAACGGCCCAAGAGGGCCCCAAGACGGCCCCAAGAGGCCCCCAAGACGGCACAGGAGGCCTTTAAGACGCCCAAGATGGCCTCCAAGACGGCCCTGGAGCAGTCCAAGAGGGCCCCAAGTCGGCCCAGAGAGGCTCCCCAAACTGCTTCCGACGGCGTCAGACGGACCAGGAGCCCACCAAGACGGCCGAACATGGCCCTAAGATAACCCAAGACGGCCCAAGAGGCCTCCAAGAGGGCCCGCAGGAAGGCCCGAAAAGGCAACAATCATTGATTTCCCATGGGTTTTCGAAGGATTGTGGCATTTGCTTTTTGCTGCCTTCCGACGGCCCGAGACGGCCCAAGTGCCCCCAAAGATCGCCCAAGAGGCTCAGAACACGGCCCCAAGAGGCCCCCAAGACGGCCCAAGAGGTCTCCAAGACGCTCAAGATGGCCTCCAAGACGGCCCAAGAGCCCTCCACGACGTCCTCCAAGAAGGCCCGAAAGGGTCAAAATGGCCTCCAGACGGCCAAGCTGACCTTCAAGATGCCCACGTGTTCCCCGAAGGCTTTCCAAACCGATTCGGGGAACACATGGTCCGATAGCTTGGCAGGTCTGGCCTCAACGTCATCGTCCTCCTCGCTTTCATCGTTTCTTACTTTTCGGGCCCATCTCTTTGCCACGGCTGGACGCGGCTCGGAAAACGAGCCAGACTCCTGAAGGGCTACAGGCAGTGGCTTTGAGCGTTCAAAGAAGGCAGAGAGCGCGTCAGAAGGACCCTGCCTCTGCTCTTCTAGACAGGCTTCATTGACGGCAGAATCTGCTCAGAGCTGGTCACAACAGGTCCCCGACCAGAATCCGCTCAGAACTGCCCCCCGTGCGCCTCGCAGTGGAAATCCTGGCAAGTCTCCCGAACTGCGCCCGGCCGCGGCCAAGAGGGCCTCTCAGGAGGCCCACAATGATGAGGAAGGGGGAGAGAGAGAGAGAGGGAGAGAGAGAGAGGGGAACAGAAGAACGACACGCACCCTCTTGCGCGCCGCCGCGAGGTATCGGGGGCACGCCCCAAAAAGCACTCGCGCGGGGGCGTCATGCCAGGAGAGGCAAGAGGCGGTCGGTCGGCGAGGGGGAGCACTCTGCTGACCGACTTGCAGCTCCGCGGCAGCCGTGGCCCTCCCGCCCCCCGAGGGCCGCGCTGCACGGAGGCGGAAAAGTAGCCGCGTGCGAAGACGGAGAGGAGCCCACCCTAGTGGTGGAAGGCTTCAAATGCTCCTCTCTCTATGCCGAGGGGCTCCAAACGGGAGTCCTGAGGAGGCTTGGAAGATATATGGCACTTCCCCCGCGCCCTCATCCCCTTCATCTCCTTCATCCCTTTCCTCCTCCTCCTCCTCCTCCCCCTCCTCCTCCTCTTCCTCCTCCTCCTGACTGGCAGACCCACGCCTCGCAAATACGTCCGTATCATTTCTCGCCCTACCATCTATCGGATCTATCGCACACACGCATGCAGGATCAGACACACAAGGGGTCCCCCCCACGTACAATATACGCCCTCCTCCTTTGAGCAGCAGGCGGCCCTGCTCCTCCGCTTCATCTCTTCCACCTCTTTTCCCTTATGAGTAATAACCAACTCATCCCTGCCACACACTCAGGCATGTCGGTAGTGCAGGCTCAGCGTTTCGCCTGAGACTTCCTCGCCCTTTCTGACTCTGAAGCTTGATTGGTGCACCACCTTCACGGATGGAATGCGGGTGGTTTTCAAAATGAGGCTATCGCCTTAGCGCCGCGTAAATGATTATGACAGCCTGCAACAGTTTCAAGAATGGAAGGTCGTGCTGTCTCAAAATGTAGCTCTCGTCCTGGCGCCGCACACAGTCTTAAAAGATTGTAGCAACTTCACGGATGGAGGGCGGGCAGTTGTCAACATGTGGCTCTCGGCTTAGCGCCGCGCACATCATCCCTGAAAGTTCGCAGCATACTTAAACAAGGAGGGCGGTTGTTTCTTCAAAATGTGGTCTGCAGCAGTTTTGAGCATGCGTACCATGGCCGAAATCCCAGAAATGGTGTTCTGGTTCGATGCAGGATTGTCAAGACGCAAGAGGAATGTTGATTCAAGGTGGTAACATCGAAGGAGCTTTGCTTGGGCACGTTTTACGATCGTCAGGGGGCAACGGTCACGTTGATTCGCGGCGTTGTAATCCTAGGAGCTGCGTTTGGGCACGATTGCAAATTCTAAGACGGTTGTCCTCTAATGGGCCACTTCCCGCAATGAAAATTCGCCGGCCCAACGGGCCAGAGGCGTGCTAAGATCTCCGGTAACTGCTTAACAATTTTCTAGTTCGCGCGCGCGGGGCGGCCCCTGGGGGTCCCCGGACGAAAAGTACCCTGACCAGGTCCCTGGGCAACTCCCTGTCGGGGATGGTTTTGCTCCTGGGCGCCGCCCTCAGGGCCTCCCAAGAGCCCCGAGAAGAGCTCAGAGACCCCCAAGAGGCCCTCAATATGGTCCAACAGAGCTCCAAGACGCCATAATATCGCTCCAAAACGCCTAAGATGGCTCCCCGACGCCCCAAGAGGCCTCCAAGAGCCCTGCCAAGAGGTCCCCAAGAGGCAAAATTCATCGATTTTCCTTAGGTTTTTGAAGGATTTTCGCATTCTCGCCTTTTCGGCTTCTCGACGCTCCAAGACGACCAAAGAGGCCCCAAAGATCGCCCCAAGACGGCTCAAGAGGCCCCCAAGAGGGCTTCAAAACGGCCCAAGAGCGCCCCAAGACAGCCCAAGACGCCCCCAAGACGGCCCAAGAGGGCCCCAAGAACGCACCAAGAGCGGCCCCAGAGGGGGAACACGAAACAACATTTGGAGCCCTCGGCCCTGAGAGGCCCCCAGAGCCTCCTAAGAGGCCCCAAGAGGCCCTCAAAAGGCCCTCAGGAGGCCCCCAAGAGGCCTCCAAGAGGCCTCCAAGCCGCCACAGGAGGCCCCCCAAAGGCACCTGCGAGCACGCAAGCAAATGCCAGCGATGCTACAATATGGGCCGGCGGAATGAGCGAAGCGATTGAATAAATGCTTTGGGGACCTGTGAAGAGGGAACTTGGAGGGAAGGATTATTGCAATTTTGTTGATGCTTCTTGGGTTTACACTAGTCCTCCTCGTCACCCACTTGTGCTCCTCCTTCTCCTGCCCTCCTCCTCCTCCTCCTCATCCCCCTCCTCCTCCTCCTTCTAATCCTCCTCCGCCTCCTTCTCCTCCTCCTCCTCCTCCTCCTCCTCCTCCTCCTCCTCCTCCTCCTCCCCTTCTTCCGCCTCATTCTCTGGAGGACACGCTTCGTGCCAACAGCCCAAGCCCCAGGACCCACGACTAGACTCCCCCCGGGCTGCACCTGGACTGCACAGCCCTGGCCGCGAAGCCACCTGGAGGTGGCCCAGTCGGCAAACCCAAGCCGACGGGGCCAGCCGTCCAGGAATTCACACCCGCATCACTGTGATGGGCACGACGCTGCCAGCACCTCTGCGAGTTCGACCGCAGAGGAGAATGGAAAGAAAGAGGAAGAGGAAGAGGCGACATCTGACGTGGACGTACCAAATGTTAGCCTCACATGTTCAACCATCTTCTCCGAGCAACAAATACACTGAACGGGTCATAGCGAATAGTACTGAAAGACTAAGTGAAGGATGCGTGACGATTTCGGTAAGCGGCTGGGCTCCCGGGCTTCCCTTTCCAGGTTGTAACCGATTCCAGGTTCTGAGCCGAATTCTGTGGGCGACCACATTTCCGGGCTCCCGGTTCCAAATGCGGAGTTCCCAGCGATGTAAGGTTCCCGGGTCCTCGAGTTCTTGGTTGCGGCCAAATCCGCCACAGTGCCCTGTGGCACGTTGAGGCGTGGCAGAATGCCAAGTGCTGTCTAGTGGGTTTTTTGCAATCTTCTAAGGGGCCCCCCCACTTTCCGAGCCACACCTCATGCGCGCACCGGCCATACTCCCGGGGGTCCCTGGGCCGCCATGGCGCCTCCCTGGGGCCCTCCCAAAGCTTCCACGACGGCCCAGGGAGCCTCCAAGACGGTCCAAGAGGGCCCTGAGTCGCCGAACTATCGCTCGAAGACGCCCAAGATGGCCTCAAGATGGCGCACGAGGCTTCCAAAGCGCCCCAAGAGGCCTCTAAAAGGTCTCCCAAGAGGGCAAGGCAAAAATCCGCTGGCCCCCTTGTGGGGCCACCAGGCTGTAGGCCGAAGGTTCGCAGTTTCCTGTACCACTTGCAGCTTCCAGTTTCCACTGTTACAGTTCTGCTTCTTGCTGCTTACTGTTCCTTGTTGATGGACCGCGCGAAGGGAGGGAGGCCCAAACGGGCAGGTTTAGCACGCCCTGAGCGTGTGCTCTGAATTGCTGGGGTGAGTAAAAATTGAAACCCCTCAAGCAGAACGGCGGGGTCAGGGTCCAAAAACACATGGGATTTGCCACATTTCTGAAATTCGCTGGCACCCCTCATGCAGATCGGAAGGGTCAGGGTCCAAAAACAAATAGGATTTGCCACATTTCTGAAAGTTGCTCGCACCCCTTAAGCATACCGGCGGGGTCAGGGTCCAAAAACACATAGGATTTGCCACATGTCTGAAATTCGCTGGCACCCCTCACGAAGATCGGCGGGGTCAGGGTCCAAAAACACATGGGATTTGCCACATTTCTGAAATTCGCTGGCACCCCTCACAAATATTGGCAGGGTCAGGGTCCAAAAACACATAGGATTTGCCACATTCCTAAAATTCGCTGACACCCCTCACACAGATCGGCGGGGTCAGGGCCCAAAAACACATAGGATTTGCCACATGTCTGAAATTCGCTGGCACCCCTCACGAAGATCGGCGGGGTCAGGGTCCAAAAACAAATGGTATTTGTCACATTTCTGAAATTTGGTGGCACCCCTCACGAAGATCGGCGGGGTCAGGGTCCAAAAACACATGGGATTTGCTACATTTCTGAAATTCGCTGGCACCCCTCACGCAGATCGGCGGTCAGGACACAAGAGACTTCCAACAGTTTCAAATTCGGGGAGAAGATTTGGGCACAGCGTACTGGAGCCAATGGAAAATACAACAGCGAGTACAACAATAGACTCGCAATCTCCATTCGTCTTGCCAATTAACCATCGTGTTCGCATGAAGTTCCGACGCTGCTTCACGGTGAAGCCAAAGCCTCATGACTTCGCTCTTCCATGGCCCATTCTCCGAGAGAGGGGGCTGGCGGCAGGGGGCGAAGCCCTTACGGATCATTCATTTGACTTTCGTTTTTGAAACCCTCCGAGGGGGCCCCATTCTGCCGCCGGCCCCCCCCCCTGACCTCAAGGTCTCAAACGGCCTGGGGACGACCTAAGGGCGCCCCAAGCCGGTCCAAGAGAGTCTGGAGCAGTCCAAGAAAGACTCCCGACGGTTCCAGATCGCTCCAAGAAACCCAAGATGGCCTCCAAAAGGCCCAGGACGCCTCCAAGACGGCCCAAGAGGCCTCGAAGAGCACCCCCAAGAGAGCCCCAAGACGCAAAAAAAAATGTGTCTTCAATGGTTTTCGAAAGATTTTCACGTTCTCGCCATTTCGGCTTACCCACGCTTCAAGACGGCCCAAGAGGCACCCAAGATCGCCCCACGACGGCTCAACAAGTGTCCAAGAGGGCTCCAAGACAGTGTGCAAGAGGGCCCCAAGACGGCCGAAGAGGCCCCCAGGATGGCCCAAGAGGGGCCCCAGGACTGCCCCAAGAGGGCGCACAGAAGGGGAACCCGAGTGAACATTTCGAGCTTTCGGTGCCAGGAGGCCCCTAGAGGCCCCCGGGAGGCCCCCAAGAGGCCCCAAGAGAGCCCCAAGAGGCCCCAAGAGGGCCCCAAGAGGCTCCCACGAAGCCCCCAGGAGGCCCCCAAGAGGCCCCCAAACTCCCCCGCAGAGGCCCCCGAGAGCCCTCTCGCGAGACCCCAAGAAGCGTCCATGAGGACTCCGACCCAAAACCCGCGCGTCACGACTTTCGATGCTGCGCACCACTTCGGTAAACTCCCAGGGAGCGGCCGGAGATGCGTCGCCGGCGTCCTCGATCATTCATGTGACTTGCGTTTTTGAAAGATGTTGGCGTTCTCGCCTTTTTTGCTTTCCGACGCTTCAAGACGGCCCAGGAGGCCCCCAAAACCACCCCAAAAACAGCCCAAGAAGCCTCCAAGAGGGCCCCAAGACGGACTAAGAGCGCCCCAGGACGGCCCAAGAAGCGCCCAAGACGGCCAAAAAGGGCCCCAAGACGGTCCAGGGGGCCCGGAGAGGGAACACGAACCGAAAATCCGAGCCGTTCGCCACAAGGAGCCCGCAGGAGGCCCCAACGCCCAAGAGGCCCCAAGAGGCCCCCAAGAACCACAAGAGGCCCAAAAGAGGCCCCTCAACGGCCCTCAAGAGGCCTCAAAACTGCATCCTCAGGCCCCCGAGAGGCCCCCCACGAGATTCCAACGAACATCCAGCAGGCGAAGAACCCACACCCCAGGCACGGTGTAGGGACGTGACGAAGGCAGCTGGATTTCCGTGTCCTTGCGACCACGGTCAAAATGAGATTTTAGACAGTAGAGAATGAAGGGTACATATCAGATAGTTCAGCACAGTTGAGCGGAAAGAGAGAGAGAGAGAGAAACAAAAAAAAAGACAAAGAGCGAGAGAGAGAGATAGAGAGAGAGAGAGAAGAGAGAGATCTGATGCCAAGGAATAGAGACCCGAGCAAGTTAAGAGGGTAGAGGGAATATACAGTATATAAAGACAGTGAGATGAAAGAGAGAAAGAGAGAGAGAGAGAGTAAGACAGGGAACAAGCGACCGAGAAGGACAGATGGTTGCGAGAGAGAGAGAGAGTGAGAGAGAGAGAGAGACGCAGTCTATAGAGAGAGGGAGAAACTGCACTTGACTGAAAAAGACTGAGAGATAGAAAGAAGATGGGAATAGAGTCAGAGAGAAGGAAAGAAAAAGAGAGGAAACCGGGAGGGAGAGAGAGGGATACAGACAGAGAGAAGATATAGAGAGTGCGAAAAGAAAATAATCCCAACAGCCCTCTGGGCGTAGGTGGTTTAACGAGTTGTCTCTTCTATCTGCACAAAATCCCTCCTTCCCCTGCTCGGGGGAGGGGGGTATCACTGTTCCCTATTAATGAACACCCCCTCCCCCACCCGGCCGGCAGCCAACCTGGAACCATGCGCACACCATGAGGGCCCCCCCCACCATCCCGATCAAAAGAACCATACAAAACGCACTCTGCCTCCAAATTCGGAGCATGCGCAACCAACCCGATGCGGGCCCCCCCGACCATCCCTGTCAAAAAACAATGCACAGCACAGTTCGGGGCAAAGTCTGGAATCATGTTCGTGAATCCCGCGGGCACTTTGTATTGTTTGTCGACAGTGGCGGCGGGGGCGTCAGCATATTGCCTGCTGCGCGCAGGGCTACCATCCCTGACAAACACACAATACAAAATGCACCTCGCGACTAAATGTGGATAGTGCGCGGCCACTCCGCGATCATTGTCAAGTGATTTTTGTCAGGGACGGCGAGGGTGGTGGTGCATGGCCTGCTGAGCGCAGGTCCACCAGACACAATGATGGGCACTGGTTTTCGACAGGGATGGTGGGGGCCGACATGTTTCCAGATGTGTGCTGTCATGTGCGCAGGCGCACCTGACACACTCTGCACGTGCCTCGGACGTGGCGCACCTGGCGCGGTTGGAGGGGCATCTGGCGCACTAGGCGTACCTGGCTCGCTCGGGCCCCAGGGGTGCCTGGCGCGCGTGGCGCGCCTAGCACGCGTGGCGCACCTCGCACCAGCGTCGCGCACATGGGCTCGGTATTAGTTCCCAATAGTTGCCCATCGAAAGACGACCGCTGAACATGCTGAGGCTCGGGTGTTACGAATGTGTTGGCAGGGCGAGTGAGAACAAGCTAGACGGCGTGTTATCTGGAGGGTGCCTTGACCCCTCCCCCTACCCCTCCCCTGGGCCTGGGAGGAAGGGGGAGGGGGGGGGGCGAGGCGCTACAGCCCCCAAGATCGCCCGAAATGGTTCCAGAAAGGGTCTCACGGACCCCGAGATGGCCTCTGAGATCGCGAAAGCTAACTCAAGATGGTTCAAGATAGCCTCCGACGCACTTCACAAAGGCCTCAAGACGGCCCCAAGACGGTCCAAGTGCACTCCGAGCAATCCAAGGACACCCCCACGAGGCAAAAATGGCTGCGACATCTAAGGATAATTGATCATGTTTGCCTTCTCGCCCTTTCGCTTCCGATGGGTCTCGGAAGCCTCAAGACGGACCCACGATGGCCCAAGAGAGCCCCAAGAGGGACACAAGAGGGCTCCAGGACGGCCCCATGAGCGCCCAAGAGCGTCCCAAGAGCGCCCCAAGACGGCCCCAAGAGGCCGTTTTTGAGCCTCCAAGGGAGGGGGGGGGGGCTCCGAAAACAGACTTCCAAGGCGGCTGATATTCTGCATGTTTCTACACTGCCCTGATCAAGGC